ATAAAAGGTGGCATCGACCCAACGTGTAAGAGCCTAAGGGCCAACTTGAAATTTTAAAACTTGAGGGTCGAATGAGCTCGAGTCGAAACCCGACTCGGAGACTGAACCCAAAACAATTAACCAAATATGCCTAAGAGCAAGGCGTAAGAGCCATTGTCGCCAGCCCACATGAAAGGTCGCATCGACCCAACGCATAAGAGCCTAAGGGCCAGCTTGAAATTTTAAAACTTGAGGGTCAAAGGAGCTCGAGTCAAAACCCGACTCGAATACTGAACCCAAACTAATAAAAATGCCAAAGAGCAAAAGCATAAGAGCTCAAATGCCAGCTTATACTAAAAGGGCGTACTGACCCAATGCGTACGAGTCACTATCACCAGCGCTAAGATCAAAGGTTGTGCCGGTAGGATGCATGAAAGCCAGGTCTGACCCGAAACTCTCGGAGACTGATCTTCGACCGTTGTGGCTCGCTTGACAATAGCAAAGCCCGAGGGTCTAACCCAAGACTTGGGATCTCGGGTCGAATGTCAAAAAACATCACATAGTATTTCCAGAAAACAAAAGGGAAAAGAAGGGATAGGAAACAAAAAGCCTTTTTATGGCCCACAGGGGGATGTTTATAAGTCCTGAAAAAACCCTTACAAGGAAAGAACCAAATAGAACCCCAATACGTCATCAAGCCTACATCTTCGATGGCTCCACCGAAGGTTGCACCCCAATGATTCCGGCTACGACTTTGGGTCTTTCAACGGCCTCTTCCCCTCCGGGGGCTCAACCTTCATTTTTTATCACCTCCTGAGCTACTTCCCGGCGCACCTCCGAAAGCAAGCAAGGCAGCATCCTTCGTCTCTAGGGTCTTCACCCTCCCGAGCTCGCAGGTAAGTTGATATCTCCTGCGTGTATATCCCCAAGAGTCTGCCTCCGAGATCCCAACCGAGCATGTTCCACAGTTCGACTTAATTCCAGCTCGGCCTCCTCAGATGCCCTCCCGGCTTGAGTGCTTGTCGCGATGGCATCCTCTCTATGCAAAGATATAAGCGCCTCGGCTTCAGTTTTGATCCCGGATAATGCAGCTACTAACTCAAAATGGAGACCTCTATACTTGTCACTATCCGCCCTCGTGTTACTAAGCTGACGCCCAACTAAGGCCACCTTTTCCTGGAGGACATCCCTCTCAGAAGTTATCTCTCTCACATGCCGTTTGAATTCGGAGACTTCGGAGTCTCTGGCCCGGAGCTCCTCCCTTAGCAGGGCACCTTCCTTATCAAACTGCACGAATCAAATCCAAGATGTTAAAACACTGGGATCTGGCAAACATTCATGTAAAAGCAAACGGGAACTAGATAACATGTTCAGCAATATGAGCTTTTTCGTGCTCATGACGGGTCACCTCAGCCTGAAACCGGGTGAAAGCCTGACTGTAAAGCACCTTGGCCTGAAATCATAAAAAGGACAAGTTAGAAAGATAAAGGCCAGAACGACAGAGGCCGGAGCAACGGACAGGATCCGCAAAAACTACCTGCTCATCTCGTCGAAGACGAGTGAATCATCGATCTCGGGGATTTCCTTGGGAACGGCTGGAAGCCTTTCGATCACATCTCTGCCTTTGATAGGCACCCCCGCATCGGAAGATTCTTCATGCAGGACGTCTTGCACTCCCTTAGGGGGTAAGGTCGTTACCTGAGGAGAATCACTCTCGACGGCGGCACCAGCAGGGTTAATCAGGACCATCTCTTGTCCATTCAGGGCTCAAGCACTAGGCTCCTCCGAACTGCCTATCGAAGGCGTCCCAGCCCGAGGGGAATTTCGGCCATCGGCCGGCTCAAGGGCATCACTCGATACTCCCACAGTGGTCTCTCCATTCTGAAGTTGGACCACGACGACGTCATGCTCCGGCTCGGAAACCACCATCCCCACGGCCCAAGGATCGGCCAGGTTTACCCCTCCCTTGGGCGCTGTCAAAAAGCTATTTTCCCCCTCACCTTCAACTCGAAGACTCCCCGCTGTTTTTGGAGTTAGGTTTGCTGGGTCGACTTTAGTTTCTTCCGCCTTAAACTTCTTGGACTCCGAAGGTTCATTCGACGGATCCCTTTGTCTTTTCTTCCCTTCGTCGGGTATCAAAGCACCCTCCTCACCAGGAGACGCTTCCTTCATTAAGGGGACCTCACCCAGACCTACACAAATGTAAGAAGTAAGCACCGGAAACAAGAGCGCTGGAAGTAGAGATTTTGGTGGAAAAATACTACTACAACAGGGGTAAAAGCTCACCATGATCTTAGCTTCCCACCGAGCTAAAGACAAATCACGCCACACTCGCTCAGCGTATGGGCAAACCGAGTTCAGCCGGCCGACCCAACCCGGGAGGTCCGTGACTACGGCAGGATAAATTGTGGTAGCTGCATTAGCAGGAGAAATTAAGTGCCTAGAAGAATGTAGTAAAAAAGAAGCAAGGGAATGCTAGATAACGTATCTACTTATGTTCCATATTCCACCTCTCGGGGAACGGCATCCTTTCCACCGGGATCAGATCCGAAGTCCTTACTCGAACAAAGTGGCTTATCCACCCCTATTCCCAAACTCCTCGGTGCAGGCAAAGAGGGCCCTCAGAGCTTGGCAACTGATCTTGATTAGACCCCCACGGAAGATGCGAGGGCTGTACATCCTAATAAGGTGATCGAAGGTGAAGGCATCTCCTCAATCAAGTTCACATAGTATTTGATCATATAGACGACGCGCCAGAATGAAGGATGAACTTGACCGAGGTCACTTGATACCGTTGGCAGAAGTCGAGAATCACGGGATCAATCGGGGGCGAGGATGGCCCCACCGGCCCTATGGTAAACGGGTAAGTATACACACTGAGAAAATCGGCTTTGTATATCGTTATATCCTCCTCCTAAGTAGGGATCTCCACAAGCACCGTGTCCCCCCCCGCCCCCAACGACAACCAGTTATCATTCTTCTGACGTCTGTTATCGAGCTAATATACTGAGACATAGGATCACGACGCCCCAGCTTCGAAGAAGGCCTCTCAACCTTGAAATCGGAAGCCATCGCGAAAAATCCTGGAACGCATTCCTCAGCATGAGGAGGCATTTCCGCTTCACCTTGAGATAGAAGCGAAGAGGATGAAGTCACATTCTCTTGGGAAGCAGAGGCGGAAGTTTTCGCCATTCCTCAAAAATTCCGGAAGAGAAAGGGAAGTTACGTTCCTAAGAAAGAACAAAAGTAAAGGCAGAATGAACCTTTTTTTTGGGTTTGGTAATGCAGTGAGTTGTAAAGAACGAGAAGAGGAGTATTTATAGAAGTCTCGTGTGCACGTTGAAGGAGTCCAAGGGACAACTAACTGCCATAATCAATGTGAAGGCCTTCAAGGGTTGCATGTGCGTCGTCTTTTGGCACCTTATGACTGTCGTCGTTACAAAAGTATCAGAGGGGCAAAAATTCAAGGTCGTTTCTTATCACTTTCACTCTAAGAAACGCGGAGACTATCTGTGCACGGTAAAATCGGAGGGTCCAATTTCCCGTCATTATGATGCCCCGTAAACATGCTTCACAAGGCCGGAGACTGGGGTCGAGGTTCACCCTCGAGGTCTGTCGACGCTCGACCTCGGGGCAATGCAGACCAACGACTATATTGGAAAAGTGGGGAGTTCCCAAGGGGTGCAGCTAGAGCCGATAAAGTCTGTCAGGCTAGTCTGAGCCCGCATCATGACATCAACTAGCTGTTCCATTTTCATATCTTTATAATAAATGCGTTTGTACTATGTTGGGATTCTCCCTTCCTATATAAAGGGGGTCCTTGCCATTTTGTAGAGATCTGTTGCTCCATACTAAATACACAAGAACATTCTATTTTGCTCTCTAACACGTTCTCTTGATACTATTACTTTTATTTATTGTCTCCATTATTGTTCTTCATTTATTAGTTATTATTGGCCGTAAAGAGCCTTCCTTGATTTTATTATAACTATTACTCTGTTAGTCGTACATCAATCACCTTCGATACCTCCCAGCCGAGCACCCAAATCGACCTCGAGGCCCCCAAATTGACAAGCTCGAGGCCCCCAAATTGACAAGCTCGAGGCCCCGATTGCTAACCTATCGGTTTGGTTATCACCTTGCTCTAAACTCTTATCTCGTTTCTAAATCTTACACATAGCATCAACTGCCTAACAACTAGCATAAAGATAGATCACGTATTTTTAGAATCCCATAATCAAATTTAATTGTTATTACCATTTTTCCGGTAAACAATCATGAAGAGGGAATTCCACCCCGGGACTTGGTTGTTCTTTACAATTCTAGATTTAAGTTGTTCCCGGGCAAGTTGAAATCAAAATGATCCGGGCCATTCAAGGTTGTGCATGTTTACCCATTTGGTGTCATGCGTTTGGAGTCCGACGATGATAAAATGATCTTTAAAGTGAATGGACAACGGATTCGCATTATTTGGCTCCCATTAATACAAGAAAAGTGGTCTCAAAAGTTTAGTTGGGAAACCCAATAACATTTTGAATTGTGTTCGCTATGGCGTCGTGCCACGACATTAAATGCGGTGCTTGGTGGGAGGCAACCCATCATTTTCAAGTTTCTAGTGATTAAACAAAAAAAAAAAGAGTCCCAAGTTCTTTACTTTTTATCTCTTGCATTTTGATTTTATCTAGAGTAATTTTGTGTGTTTTGTTCTTTTGGTTTGATGATTTTGTTCTTTTGATTTGATGATAAGCAACCTCCACTTCCAACTAAGAGGTTGTGAGTTCGAGTCTCCCCAAGAGCAAGGTGGGAAGTTCTTGGAGGGAAGGATGCCGAGGGTCTATTTGGAAACAGCCTCTTTACCCCAGGGTAGGGGTAAGGTCTGCGTACACACTACCCTCCCCAGACCCCACTAAGTGGGATTACACTGGGTCGTGCGTAACCTACGCAGGATATGTAGGCAAAGCCAGCAGCAAAATTTGTTTTGGAGCAGCAGGTGAGGATGAACGCATAGGCTACGCATGTTCGACGCAGCAAAACCAAAAGCTACGAATAACTTGAAAAAGCTACGCAGGGAGAGACCTTTGGTGCACAATGAGGGTTTGACTAAGGTTGACCAATTTACTATTTGGTCCCGGGTAGTATTTATTTTGTTTTACACCCACCCTACGCACAATTTCTCTCTCCCCGTACCCTACGCACAAGTCTGTAAAAAACAAAATAATTCCACCACTGCTTCTTTTATCTGGTCACAAATTCTGGTGAAAGCTCGAATCAGGTATACTCTTTCCCTCTCCTCTTCTATTTAAATATACTCGCTGGAATTTCTTCTCCTCTCTTACTGCCCCGATTTCTCTCTTCCCGTTCTGCTCTAAGTTGTTCGTCTCTTGCCGAGACGTTTTCTTCTGATGGGTGATTGTTATTGTTGAAATTTGCTGTTGTTGGGTGATTGTTGAATACCATTTTATATGGTTAAATTTGGGGTCGGAAGATAGTTGAAATAGGCTTTGAAATGGAGTTACACAACTGCATATAAGGTGTTTGGTGAATTGCCCCATTGAACTCGACTAAACAGGGCGTAGTTGAGCTTGATTTCTGAGTAATGGTGGCTGATTTGGAGCCTATTTTTTGTTGATTTTTCATTGTTTAAGTGCTGTAATTAGAGTCGAACTTCTAGTTTATGCTAGTTTTGTTCAATTTGTGACAAAAATGTGTGCAAAGTTGAGTGCTTGATGAGGCTGTTTGAATGAACTGAGTGCGAGTCTGCCTGATTCTCTGGGATTGCTCTTCACTTGTATGCTGGAAATAGATTACAAAGTAAAAGTTATGCTTGTTTTTGCTTAAATCTGTGTGTTATTGATGATTAGAAGTTGAGGTAGCAAGCTGAATTTTGCTGAGAAAACTTGAAATTGTTCGTCATGGAAGTTACAACTGAGAGTCTGAGGCTGATTTCGGATTGATTTTGCATGTTTTTGGAGAGTGATTCTTGTCATTTACTAGTTACTAAGGTGCTATAAGTGGAGTCGAACCTCAAGCTTGTGATAATTTCTACTTAATTCTTGAGAAATTGTGGTGTGGAAGTGATAATTTGGCATCGTTTTGAGTGTAAAACTGCAGTGCCTCATGCACTTGGTGTTTACTGTCTAAACTGGTGAATAGAGAGATCCTTGAGGCTCAGTTTCTAATTGAATTGGACTGTTTTGCTCAATAATTTTTGACATGCCTTAGTGGTTAATCTTGCTTAATCTTACTTGTACTTCTAAAACCTTGAGTTGGAGTCTGAAAAATCAGGAGTCGTCTGTATGGTATGAGCACGTGCAAGATTGTCTCTTTATGAATCTTTTTTGTCGAGGTTGAACCGGATTGACTGTTTAATTGGTAAACCATTGAGTGAAGGTTATTTATGTGTTAAATTTGTCGAAAAACAATAGGGGGAAGTCTGAGTACCCACCAGAGTTGTGATCTTGAAATGTTCTATGTGCTTCAAGTGTCTGTTAATCTGCCTCAATGCACTCTCATGCTGCTTGAATGATCTTTTACTGTAATTCTGATCCAATGCTTTGAAATGTTGGTTTCTTAAGTGTTATGCTCCACAAAAACTTGATCCTTGTTGGAATTGATTGGGAAAGTTGATGGAGGTTTGTATTATAGTCTGTGGGTTTAAATTTTAGGAAGTCTGAGTACTAAATTTCAACCATAATATTCTTGACACCACCAAGCTCTGATTTTACAACAACCATAACTAATGATGATTCTTGGTTATGATACAGATGGCTTCAAAGCAAAAATGTTCGAGTGATGGCAATAAGGGTGATGGAGGATTGAGACGGGCACCTTCAAGAGAAGGCCATGGCAAGAAAATGTCTGAGGTTCGGGACTCACCATTCCCCATGATGATCCAAGTAGATGCTTCACGCTCTACGTCCTCTGCTCCACAAAAGCAAACTAAAAGAAAGGATGTACCAACAGTTGCACCATCCACAAAGAAGAAAGCTAGAGGCAATGGCAAATCTTCTAAACCTGCTTCACACTCACGGGAAGCTCCTCTTCCACATATGGCCCCACCTCCTTCAGTATCTCAAGAGGTAATTGTAGACCAACCAGTTGTGCAAGAAGTCGAGGACACAATGAGACTTCTTCCGGCTGAACCACTGGTACCCACCCCCTACCAAAAGAAAGATCATTTGCTGATGATCATGGAGTCTACAAATCGATAGATATGGAAAAGAATCTCCCTGAGTTTTACCATGAGTTGGTTAGGAGAAATTGGATGATCCTCACTGGCTCATGGGCCAGAAATGAGACGCTTTTGCGTGAATTCTTTGCTCAAGTTGGTGCACTAAGCAAAGAGGAACAAGACTCATTGTCTGGGGTGACTATTAGAGATACGTGGGTACCATTGAATGCGCATGCATTCGATGATTTGCTTGGGTTGACCGCACAAGATAACGGTCGAGTGGCGAGTGCATTACGTAATAGAGAGGCTAATAGGACTTGGGCGGTAAACACTGTAAAGATGGAAAATTCAAATCCAACATGGGCACATAAAGGTAAAATTTACAAGACTGGGTTTAATGCTACAGCCGTGGCTTGGAATATCTTTGTGGCCAACAGATTAATGCCATCAAAGAACTATGCTGAGGCTTCTGAAACGCAAACCATTCTCATTGCAGCTATCATGTCCAAATGGCCAGTTGATGTGGGTGAAATAGTAATGGAGCTGAGGGAGAAATTCTCAATGAGCACAAGCGCTATGCCATTTCCTGGATTCCTAACTAGTCTCTTCGAGAAGTATAAAGTACCAGCTCTTCCTTCTGATCGCATTTTGCCACGCGCCACTCCAACCAAAATCTTCCAACACATAACTTCTGATCAATTGTCCAAGATGCAGAAAAGTGATCCGGCCACCTCATCATCCAGACCATCACCTATTGCTCCTTTGCCTAATGTTCGCAGTGCCTCCACTACATCTTTTGCTGCTTCTGATGCCACTACCAATGTAGCTGCACTTCCTGCCAGTACAGCGCCTCCAACCACTTTTGAGGCACCTTCTTCATCCACCAGTACACCCGTAGTGCTAAGTGACGATGTGAAACAATTGTTAGCAGCTATGGGCTCAATGATTGTTGACACAAATGAGAGGTTGCGAGCCATGACTCATCCATCCGATGCCCCTTTTCCACAAGAGTTACAAAGTGTCAAACCTCCCAAGCAGACAATAATTATGGCACCAATGGAGAACATGCTTATGGGTTTTGCAAAGTTGTACAGGGCAAAATCATCAAAAGAAAGAGAAGCAGCTGAGGCTAAAACAAAGAGAGGGAAGAGAAGGACAAGATCAGGCAAGCCATGCTTGATACACTTCAGTCTTTGAACAGTAAAGTTTTGTCCATAGAGAGTATAGTCCAGGATATGGATAAGAGGCTCAAGAAGTTGGAGAGTTGCAGTGTGGGTCCGTCTGGACTACAAGATGACTCCCAAATTTGTGGGGATGACGCCCGAGATGCAGCTTTGAGCAAGGATGACAGAGTGGAGAGTGAGCCGCTTATTGATGAGCACACAGTTGCTCCCGCTCACTCTCCCACGAGAGTGGTTAAGACACCACATGCAGGAGAGCTTTAGCGTCGAGGAGCTTAAGATTGAGGGAGTACGTCTTTACCCTATCCTTATACTTGCTTTGATTGCATTGAGGACAACGCAAACTTTTATGTTGGGGGAGGGGTATAGATGAGTTTTGGTATGCTTGACACTTTTTGATGTCATTAGTTGATGTTATGTTTTCTTTTCAGTCTTTTCTCTTCTTTTATTTTATTGATCTTTTGTTTTACGTTTTCTAGGAATTAGCAATAACCTCTTTGGGTTTTCTTTGACATGGATCTTTCCCAAAGATGCAACCTGAACCGGAAATATTTTTATTTTTAGTAGTGTCGGTGTGTCAACTTTTGACTTGTTTGGTACCAACACTACTTAGATGTATGCCTTGAAACATCTTTCCATGAAATGTATGCTTTTGAAAATTCTAGGAAGTAGTTGACTTGATTATTTTTGGCATGATCCTTAGGTTTCATTGTTAGCTTTAATGTCACTATATAGCTTTTAGGCTATGGCAATTTTTTGCGTTCATGTGTTCCAACCGGGCTTTATATACATATATCTGCTTTGAGTGTGCATAAGCCATGTGATGTGAGGTTGTTGTTGAGTACTTTTGTGTCAATTGTGGTCTAGAACTTGCCCAAGTGTGTTTCGAGGCAAAATTCTAGGTTGTGCTTGGTTTAGAAAATGAGTTTAGGCTTTCTTTGGACCGCTTGTGCCTTTAATTATCTACCTTTGACAAGATTATCCTAGTCAACTCTTTTGAGCCTTTAGCCTTTTATTGTCAATCACATTACAAGCCCTTTTCCCTTCTTATGCTAACCTCTTTTGATGCTCCGACTTTCTTAAGCGCTTGAAATTACAATTTTGGCCAAAAGCTTAAGTTTGGGGAGGAGATGAAAAAAATAGAAGAAGCAATGAATAAGACAGCAAAAAAAAGAAAAGAAAAAAGAGTTGAAATAAAAAGGGAAGACTAGAGACTCATAACAAAGGTGGTGATCACAAAAGGAAAGCCTTGCGAACTAGGGAGCTCTAATGGTGTAACTCAATCATATCGCCTAGTTGAAAAAGGGAGCAAAAGGGGGGTATTTTGAAAGGAATTGTATTTTGAATTGTCAAGATTGTAGTGCTTAGGAAGGTCATAGTCACTTTTACCCATATTGATGCCCTACCTCCAACCAAAGCCTACAATACATTCCTGCAAGTCCTAAATGATTTTGAACTAGGCACACCTACATTACTGTAGATTTACGCAAGGGGCAAGCCTATGCACTACTTTTGTATATTTGAACTTCTTTTGTGAGATAGAGTGCTTACTTCTTTTGATTCATATCCCACTTTTCCTGAATCTCTCTTGATTTGTGAGGACACATGGAAACTCCGGTGTGATTATTGTTTCTTTTCTCAATTGGGACACATGAACAAAAGAAAGTGGCCTTGTGACTTAAAGATAACTTTAGAAGCTTTGTGATCGTAATTTGAAAAACCTGCTTTACTTGCTTGGTACTCGTGGTTTTGAAATTTAAAGTCTTTGGAAGTTGTTGAGGAACATGCATTTGGGTATAGTTGTGGTACCAACCGAAGTCATGAGTTTTTGCGCTTGAATGCTTCTTAGCTTAGTTGTGATGCTAGCTTTAGCTTGTGAGCTTAAATGTGTAGTAGCTTCAATGAATTGATGCCTAATAGCCTGTTTGGCCAAGCTTCTTTTTGGCCAAAAGTGCTTTGTTTGGCCAAAAGCACTTTTGGCCAAAAATTGAGGTGTTTGGTCAAGCTTTTGGAAGGAAAAAAAGTGTTTTTGAGGAGAAGCAGAAGCAATTTTGGAGAAGCAGAAAAAAGTAGCTTCTCTCCAAAAGTACTTTTTTGAGAAGCACCTTTGAGAAAAATACACTTAGAAGCAATTTTTTAAAGCTTGGCCAAACACTAATTGCTCCTCAGAAGTGCTTTTTAAACTAATTAGCCAAACACAAACTGCTTCTCACCAAAAGTACTTTTGAGAAAAGCACTTTTGGAAAAAAGCACTTTTCAAAATAAGCCGATTTTTGCAGCTTGGCCAAACGGGCTATAAGTTTGAGTCTTGATTTAGTTGAGGACAACCTGTAAGTTTGGGGGAGTTGATAAGTTGACTTTTTAGCCAATGTCTCTTGTGTTTTTATAGGATTTTATGTCCCATTTATTGGGGAGAAAAGGACTAATTATGCTTTGAATGGCTCGATTATAGGTAATGAAGCTTTGAGTACGCTTAAAGAAACGAAAGAAATAAAAAATATCAAGAAAAGACCAAGTCCAAGTGAAAAATGGAAAAGTTGAAGTTTGAGCTGAAGACCCTGCGTAGGCTACGTAGAGGAAAAACCTGAGAAGTAAAGCTCTTAGGACATTCTGTTTTTGCCTACACCAACTTGCGTAGGCTACACATATATCCTACGCACAAGGAAAAAGCTGTAGTGTTTAAACATACGCAATTAGCTACGCAATTAGCTACGCAATTGACCGAATGGCAATTTTATCCAGTCGTGGGACTTGGTATAAATAGCTATTTTAAGTCATTCTAGGGTATCATTTTGGCAAGAATATTTTGTGTAGAAGCTTTTGGGATTTTGGGTGACTTCGCCATTTTTCTACACAATCTTTATTTCCTCTTTAGCTATTATGTTTAGTTTTTCATTTTATTTTTGTATTTTCTTTCCTTAATATGTCTAGCTAAGTTTATTAAGCTAGGATTGTGAACCCTAAGTGTGGTTATATTTTTGAGTTATTAATATAAATTCGAAATTTGATTAAGCTTTGTGTTATCTAATTACTCCATGCTTTATTGATTGATTTTGTGGTTGCAAACACTAAATCCATGCCTATTTTGCTTGTTCTAGCTTGGAAGAGTAGAACATAGCTTAGGTATAAAGTAATTAGCAATGAATTAAGTGGGTTAACCATTTATTAACGAAATCTAGCGAGGAATAGTATGATTTCTACTTGGGCTAATCAATTGCTTATCAATGAGCCTTAGTTGTCTTGGAAGAGCAACTTGGGATAGAAATCTCTTAAGTGTTGGAAGACATTAAGTTGGTAGAATAGAGATTGAGGTTATAACACATGCTTAATTAACTAGAATTGGACATTTGTATACCCAAAAGCATAGCCTACACGTAAAGGGAAGCAATCCTAGCGCCTTTCTATTATTGGTTACAACTACATCTTATTTGCACTCTACGTGCTTGATAGAATTTCTTAGTTAAACTTTAGTAGTAATTGTAGACATAATTGAACAATCACTCTTTGTTTGAAGATTACATTAAGAATCATGGAGTTTGCACACATTTGGATACTCTAACACACACCTACTACTTGTACGATTCGACCTTAACCTTTGTTGGGTTTATTATTGCTAATAACGACTGTGCTACTTTCATATAGAGAGTAGGATTGGACATCACCAGAACAATTAAAGTTGATGCTGTGATTTGTAACAATTCCAGTATTAAGACAAAAACCAAATGATAATAATAATTAATAATGGCAACTACAATAATGACCATCAAAAGTACCGTGTGCTGTACCAAGCATAGTCTGAAGTATGTTTTGTCAAACTATAATGTTGGAACTTTCTCTTGGTTCATTTCCTATTTGAGATTCTTTGCTTTCTCTGATGCTATGAAGTTCCTTGAATTATGTTGGGCAACAACCTATTTTCACCATTTTAAAATTAGATTCTTATTGTTGATATTATTTGTTAACCTTGATTTTTCCAATAAAAAGTGAAATTTTTGGAGTAATGTTTTTATTTGATGTTACCGTTTGGGTATTGTAAACAACAGTCTTGCAAACAGGGAGAATGCTAACAGACTTCTCAGGCAAGTAATATCCTTGACCCCTGAATTTAGTTGTGGATGGTAACTTGGTGTGGTTATTGGTAAAAAGGGCAGCACAATCACTTCTGGGCTTCTCCCAAAATCGGGGGTTATTTTGGTCTCCTGTCATGAATCACTGAATTCTTTTCCTTTCCCTCAGCGCTACGTTCTTCTCTCGCCTTTTCGACGTCTCCGTTTCTGACGTGGAAGGTAAACTGGTTCTTGCTTTTGGCGTTGTGACCTTGCCTTTTCGGCGTCTTCGTTTCTGACGTGGAAGGTAAACTGGTTCTTGCTTTTGGCGTTGTGACCTCTTCTTCTCGCTCTGCACCACCTGCGTTTTTGTGGGTATATGCAATTAATGTTATTCCGGGGGTGTCAATGGTTCGGTTCGACCGGTTATTTTATAAAATTTGTATCATACCAATTTTTCGGTTATTCTATTATGTATAATCAAAATTAGACTTTTCGAACCCGTCCCAATTATGTCGGTTTCTCTTCGGTATCGGTAAGGTTCGGTAAATATTCTGTAATTTTTTTAAATATCATGTAAAAATCAACAGTAGAAGTAGAATGCAATAACATACGTACTTTTATAGTTCTTAGCAAAACTCTCTAGATATTTTTACAGTTTAAAAGGTGATAAATTAAGAAAATATAAACGAAGGCTAGAGTGTAGATCCATCAGATCTTCTACATCAGTGTAAAAGAAACTAAGCAAATACAAAAAAAAATATAAATCAAACGAGTGGAAAGATATTAACCAAGTTAGGTCTCATGAATAAAGTCTATAGAATATTAAATATTCAAAATGATAAATCTAAATCATACGAAAGGAAATATATTTAATACATTGTAGTTTGCTACTCATAATCGCTACAATACCTTGTGTTTCGCTAGTGAATATGCTCGAAATAATTTAGTTTCAATAGGAGTAGCATAATAGGTTTGGGAATTAGGATTTTAAATTTAATTACCTGTTGGCTTGTAACTATTTCATAATTCTAAGCCCCAGAAAAAATTTAATACTATGTTATTTTTAAACTTTATATATAAATATATTTTTTACATTGTAAATTTATTCGGTACGGTGTCACACCTCCTTTTTTCTAAATCTGTGAGGGGGCGAATAGGAGTTTTTCCAATTAAAGGACAATCAGAATGGGATTTATTATTAATATTCAGAGTCGCCACTTGGGAGATTAATGGTGTCCCAAGTCACCGGTTGAATCCCGATCCGAGGAAATTATGACTCTGTTAACAGTCTGCGAATCAGAAATCCGAGTAAGGAATTCTGTTAACCCGGGAGAAGGGGTCAGGCATTCCCGGGTTCCGTGGTTCTAGCACGGTCGCTCAACTGTTGTATTTGATTTTATCTGATTTTAAAACATGTTCTAACCTATGTGCCTTTTATTAATAAACTGCTTTTATTTTATTTTTAATAAGAATTGCAACGTTGTGAAATGCGTCTCGAACCACGTCGCACCAGTGCACCCGTGATTGTTAACACATTTCGACTTCGTTGAGATTTGGATTTGGGTCACATAAATGTGCACCCGAGTTTAGGAAAGTAATATAATTAAAAACGCGCCTAAAGTGACTAACGCGTTATTATTTTGCGAGGGCCATGGAAAGTTCGCTAAATGGCACGCCTCGGATTCTAAGGATCAAAACTAAGATTAATCAAAGTGAGGGCCGCGCAATTGTTATTTTTGTTTGGGGCGTGGCACACCTCAATCTACTCTAATTTTTAAAAGGGAAAAATAATTACATTGGGAGGGCCATAAACTATTTGTAATCTATTATGGCTCGCCTCCCCTAATTGATGGACCTAAGCAATTAAACACAGGAGGAGTCCGGATCCGGGCCCAAAGTGAGCCTTTTGCTTAGTGAGGACATACGCACCCAAAATAGATGCCATTTAGGCAAACTGGGCCACCCGTAGGCCCAATCTCCATAACAAAACATTTGTATTACCAATTCAATGCAACATTGTATGAAAACATGCAATTGAACTACACCCCTACTTCTGAATTTTCTACTGACGAAAACAAATTAACTAGCTTAAACCTCCAATTTTATTCTAGCATATAAAAATGGGATTGAAGATTTGAATAACGGCGCAAATTGTCAGAGCTAAAGTCAAACCCGTTTTTTTTTTTAAAACAAGCCTGGCCCAAAAGTGATCCCAGATTCGAACATGAGTAGTTTCCAACAACGCCCAGTTCTAGCTCGAGTCTGCAATCCAACTCCAAGGCCCTTTTTAATTTTACTTCTTAAATGCAGGTAAATGGCCAATTACAGAAGTGAAGTGTTCAGAACCAAAGAAAAACAAAGGAGGGACAAATGAGTCGCGGATTGTAAATCAGGTGCTAAGACTATGGGAATCCTAAATTGAAACATAGACCACAATTCAAATAATGGTCAATTCATCCCTCTATTAGCCGCAGAGTTGATACAAACACACATATTATCCTGCAACCATTCCGAGTCCACACACTGTTCTGGATTTACAATTTAACTAACATTTTGGACACGATAATAAACTTTGAAGATACATGAAGACTTACACACTATGAAAAGTGATAGAACCTAACAACTCTCCAAATCATTTCTACATCCAAGCTAACATGGATTTCAGAGTTAATCTACACTACTGGAACTAAAATAACCAAATAAGCTATAGATAAGTCCCACAGTCCATAGTTAATTACAATACGAGAATTTGGTTGTTTAAATGGAAATCAACTACAATTATAATGTGAGTAAATAAAGGATATGAACATCAGGCAAAGAAACACAGAGCTAAAACATAGTAGTGCTTCCATTTCATCCTCAAATCAGACTTTACATCGTGAAGGATTTAGAACTTGTACCTGGAAGTAGAAACGTAATCAGAAGAAAGAGAATAGGTCAGCTACAATTAGGGAATCAGCAGGGTAAGCCAACAGTAGCAAAGCAATCAACACAGCCAATTTTTAGCCCGGAAGTGACTCAGTAATTCCAGAATATTTTAAAACCAAATGAACTGATGTATCAACCCCAAAACAGCATCCAAATACCCAGAACAACTTGAAATTAAACCAGTAAACTTCTGAAAAACTTCAGCAATCAAATGTTGAGCTGAATGCTGAAATTAAACTGAAATTTTCAATGAAACAGTCTATTTTTGGTTTTTCTATTGTTTTTTGGATTTTTTATATAAAACTAAGATCTAGAAGAAGATTATTTTTTTTAAAGATTTGAAATTCAAATTATAGATCAGATCTATTGAGGATTTTGGAGGGGGGGGGGGAAGTTTGGAGGCTGAAAAAAACTACCTTCATCAAGGCATTTTGTATGCCTTTTTATTAGGCAACCCAGGGGTAAGGCATCAGATTTTGGTTTTCGTTTTTAGGTCCCCTATTAATTTTCGACTTTTAACCCTTATTTTTTGTCCTTGTGACTCAAGTCACACCCTTATTTTAACTGAAATGTACCTTAATACCCACACCTAGAAGCTTCTAGCAAATTCTAGCTAGATTCCATACCCTGAATTACCCCAATTGCCCCTAGTTTCAACTCAAAATTACAGCCATAACCAAACTACTTTCTAAACTATGAATTGAGCTACATCTGACAAATGAAATCCTATTTTACCACTGTCTAATTATCGATGAGACAAGATTAACCATCAGAGCTAAGTAAACACCATTAAGCTTATACTAATCTAACTACCAGACAGAAAATCTAATGCACATAGAACGATTATCAAAATAAGCCTTCTAACTACAA